AAAATACTGAGAAGAAATAATATAATTTATTCCACAATTACTTCTTAAATGTAGATTCTGTGTCAAGCTGATTTTAAGTGATGGCCAACATGGATATAATCCCTGCCCTCATGTAGAATATAGTCTAGTGAATATGATTGACAAGTATAATAGATTAAATAGTGTCTCCTCACACTTTATGTATACCAGGAGTCTTAGAATGTTATCTTATTTGGAAATAGGGTCTTTGCAGTTATACATAAAGATCTTGAGATGAGATCTGAGAATTAGGGTATTCTATAAGAAGAGGAGAAGAGGCAGAAAAGAAAGCCATGTGAAGACAGAGACAAAGATTGCAGTAATGCTGCCACAAACCAAGGAGCATCAGAAACCACCAGAAACTAGAAGAGGCAAGGAAGGAATTTTTCTTCTAAAAGCTTTGAGAGGGAGCAAGGCTCTACTAAAACCTTGATTTTGGTCTTCTGGCCTCCTGAATTTTTGTAACCCATCAGGTTTGTGGAACTTTATTAGAGCAGACCTAGAAAACAAATAACATCAAATAAACAAATGGGTAGGATGCTGTTTGGTAAGCACTATGATGGAAGATTAGGTTGTTCTCTAAGTGAATAAGTAGGTTGCCAATTAGAGTAGGTGGAGCAAAGGTTTCCTAAGCTTTCTTGAAAAAGATGGTGTAAAAACTGAAATATGAAAAATGATTAGGAGTTAACAAGGCCAGTTGATTACCCAGAGTATTCCAGATAGAAAAACTCATATGTGAAGGTCTTGTTGTGGGAGAGGCCTGAATAGTTTAAGGGATATTTTTAAAATATCATTTGCGTTCAGTGAGGAAGAGTGAGAGGAGAAAACAAAAGATGAGGTTGGATAGGTAAAGAAGAGCTAGATGATAAAGAAACTTTTAAACCATTCCAAGAAATTAGAACTTTAACCTAGCAGCAAGTATAACAAGACATTGCCTTTGTAGAAAGAAAGGGCTTGAAAGGTTTGGCATATCACTTGTAGGTGCAATATGGAGAGTAGATTGGAGGGGCACAGCTGAAGCCAGGGAGATTGGTTAGAAGCTTCTGAGTAAGACAGAGGAGGCACCTGGGCTGGGCTTGTTGCTGAAGGCATGTAGAGAAGTGGACTTTGTTTTTAGATACATACTGATTATGATAATACTCCTAATAATCATAGTATTTATAGTGATAGATGATAATTACAGAATACTTACTATGTGCTGGATGTCATGTTTGCATTGTTTTGTTTAATTCTCAATAGTTACCATTAAGGTATCCATTTTTATAGAAAGACAACACTGAAACTTAGAGATCTTAAGCAATTTCTTCAAGATTATGCAGCAATTGAAGTGTAGGGCCAGGATCAATGCTGTTTTCTGAACTGCTGTGTCAAATATTTTATAGTATACTTTGTGACTGGGAGTTAGTTAGTAACTGGGATGATGGTGCCTTTTTATGGGACAAGGAATGAAAGAGAAGAACTAGGTTTGTGAGGGCAGATAATGCATTTGGTTTTAGATACGTTGATTTTGAAATGTCTCTGGCCTCTCTGGGCCTCCCACTAATAAGTGGAAATGTCTGAAGGTCCAGAGAGAGAGGAAGAATGGGGAGGAGAGAGCAGATTTGGGGATACTGATCTGGAAATCGTCAGCATAAAAATATGAATTTACTAACTATGGGATTGGATGAGTTGGTTCAGGGAATGGATGAGTAAAGTAAATTATCCAGGACAGATTCCTAGGAACATGGAGATTTAAGGGTATGGCAAAGGAAGACAATGAAAAGAGAAGCTTACTAGGAGCTGGTGGATAAAGGAAGATGCTTGAATATGTTTACGTAATTGTGGAAAGAAGGTAGTGGAGGCAGCAGCGTGAAAATTGAGGAAAGAAGGAATACTACAGAATAAATGCCTTGGGAATGATAGAGGGAATAAATACCTTGGGAATGATCCACAGCATGAGTACAGGGATTAGGCTTAAATAGGAAACATCTCATTAAATTTAGTAAAAGAACACCTCCTAAAGAGTATAATTAGAATGTTCATAGCATTCACACACAAAGTGGTTGAGGTGATGGATACCCCATTTACCCTGCTGTGGCAATTACACATTGTATGCTTGTATCAAAATATCTCATATACCCCCAAAATAGACATACCTAGTCTGCACCCCTAGAACTTAAAAATGAAAATTAAGAAAGAAAAAAGGGCCAAGAGCACGTTTGTAGGTTAGATGACAAAAAGGTGGATTACTTGTATTTTCTCTGGGAAGTAAGATACAAGGTATCCTGCAGGTCAGAGTTTGAGAGAAGTGGAGAAAGTTTGGAATCACTGCTGTGCAGAACATGAGTGCTGACTATGAAAAGTCATTCCTCATGGAAACATGGAACTACAGAATGACATCTAGGTATGACTATACCAGATGAGGGGGAGGCTCTGACATGAAAGCAGTAGTAATTTGCCCAGTTGGGTAGTTTTCTCTAAGAATAATAGGTTGGGCATTGTTAAGCACAACTGGTGCTTTGCAAGGTGGATAAGATGAAAGGACAAGCCAATGGACAAGAGACCTGAAAATGTTGCCAAGAGAATGAACAGCTGCAAAGCCAGAGCAATGAGATCATGAGTTGGGGAAAAGAATAGTAGTAGAGTAGAAGTCTAGAGTCTTGGGTACCTATTCCAGGTCTACTACTAGCTAGTTGAGTCATTTTAGGAGCATCTCTTAAATGCTGTGGGCTTCTGCTTTCCTTTTCTATAAAGTGAAGAACTGGACTAAATGGTCAGTCTCTAAGGACTAGTTCTGCTTGAAAATTATGTGAGTCTGTCACTACTGCAGGAAGTAGTAAAGGAAGGAAAGAATGGAAGTGAAGGGTCATGGTGGGTTGTGAATTCACACTAGGCATTTGAGACTTACAATTGAATGTATTTATTTCAGCTGAGATGTCTACATAAAATGCATTGCTAAGTTTCAGGAAGACTCAGTCTTTTAATCAAAATTCTATTAGAAAATAAATGTAGGCAACTTTGATTGTTCTTTGTACTATGACTAATCTCCATCTACAAAAGTCTATAGTGAGATTTATGTGGACAATGGGATATGGACATGTCCATGAAAGGGAAAGATTATTAAATAGAGGGTGAAACCAAAACTGTGGAACCCCTTCCTAACCCATCTCCATCCACACAGGAAATGACACAACCTCACTTTATGAGAGGATACTGAATAATTTGGCACAATGCTGGTAACCCCTTATTAAGCTATATAATTTATAATTCATTTTTTCAGCTGCTCATATCCTAATTTAAACTAGTTAAAATGAAGGAAAAGTCATTTGGAATAAAAAGCAGAAGGCTTTTAAAAGCTAATTTTGGAGACACAGATATTGGGAAAAGAAATTGAGACCACTTATTTTTTGTCCACCACCTATCATTATCAAATTAAGTAAATACTTACAGGAGAGGAGATATGTCCCAAAGCCTAACACTATAAGAAATCTTTCCATATTCTTTTGTACAGGAACAGCAGTTTGAAGCAGACTCTGAGCCCAGTCATCCATCATTGAGATCTTTAGTACAAATGGCCCCATTTCAAGTCTCGTACACATGTCAGTGGATCTCGTGGTATGTTTTAGGAATGAAACATCCTCCTGTGTAACAGAAATGCAACTGACATGACCTCAGTATGTTCTGAATCACACCAGAAAGATTCCATAAAGAAATAAAATGAAATTCTCAAATGCAAAGTTAAAGAAAGATTTTTTCTGTGTAGAAGACAGATGAAGGTATTATTAATAGTGAAGGGTAAAAGCTGAAACATTTGAATGTTCAACTAAACATCACCAAATTTCTCATTTCAGTATGATAGAAATAACTGCTCTTGAGGTATTTCCATAATCTCAGTTTTAACTTCAGCCAGGAACCAAGGAAAAAAAAAATCCCTTCTCAAGCAGTTTATAAACTAAAAATAAAGATGACAAAAAGTCAGATTTAGATTAAATTGGAAAAGCTGGTTTTCAAAGTAGTAATTTTATCTCCCTAAGACAGAAATATATAGGCTACAGTAAAAGAAATGTTCAGTATTTACTGATATATACAGAGAAAAATAACTAATACCTAGCTTTAGCCAATGCATATGGATACATGATCAATTGAACTTTGGCAATCAACACATTATTAATGAATCCAAAATGGTCACATTTTCTGATGACTGAGTGCTGGAAGCTAAAGGAAATGATGTATGCCACTTGTTATACAACCTCTTCTTGAACGTCTTCCAGGGCTTTGGTGAGCTAAGACAGCAAAATATAGCTCCAGTTCTGCTGAGTTGTTCCTAAGGACTATAATTACATTTTATAGTATTTAGCTCAATGAAATCATTTTTCCTTTTAAGTCTATTGAAACAACAATTGCCTGAGACCTTTGAATTTTGCCCCTAATATTACTGTTTCGTCACATACATCCTAACTTAAAGCTCCACCTGTACCATAAAAGAACCCCAATAATATGCTCTTTCTGTCATTTAACTCTGAAAAGGGAACTTGTTTATACTAAGGAAGGCAACATGTTGGACTAGAAAAAACATTGAGTCCTTAGGATATCTGGCTTTCAGTTGTAGCTTTATCTATATCTACTGTGTGGCCTTGGGAAACTCATGGACTTATCTGGGCTTCATTGGCTTCCATGGAAAATGAAGGGGAGATTTAGATTGTGTGAGTCCAATAATAACTGCCTATAATTCCATAAATATATTGGCAGTTTACAAATGTAGATGATATCTGTCATAATAGACCATAATGTCCTTTACAACAGCTCCATGGGAAGTGGTATAAGTCAGAAACTTCTGCTTTTGATTAAAAAAAAAAAAAAATATATATATATATATATATATATATATATATAATTGACAGAGTTTTGAATCATTTGTTTCAAGAAAGAATAGAGAAAATAAAGATAAAATAAATTAGTTTCAAATGGATGAATAGAGAAATTAGTCATTTATAAATAAAAGACTTGCAGAAGAGTATTTTTGCGATCTAAATAAGGCACACAATTTTTCAAAAGAAGTATAAAAAAGAAAACATATAAGGCGCACAAATCTGGTGAAAAAAACAAGAAGATTAAAAATGCCAACTAACAGGATTTTATGTTTTACTTGAGGTGTGTGTATATATGCATGTATTGTGTATATATATATATGTTTATGTGTATATACACATACGAACATATGTGATATATGTACCTATACAGAGGTATATAAATGCAGTCTCTATAGCACATATATCTACTGTAACCCTGAAAAAAGATAGAAAGAGACTCAAAAGGTCATCGGTCCTCTGTCATAGAGGAATTACTTATGGTAAAAGATAACTGGCTTCCCCAATCTAATTTACAGTTGATACTGGAGATAGGGCTTGGGGTTTGTTGTTAAGGTATGGTCATGTTAGTTTGCTAATTATACGAATTTACTTTCCACTTTCCTGAATATACTGAGAAGGTATGCCATCTTACATGGCAAGGACCAAGTCTTATTGGTGGATCTCAGTGGCTAAGTTGGGTATGGCCTATCTACTAGAAGAGAGTTGTGAATTGGAGATCACTATGGTTAGCAGTTGTGATGAATTACTATCTGTTCTGGATCAAAACAGGAGAGTGGTCCAACCAAGTAGCCATTGGGTCTAGTGACTGCATCACTGTAGCAGCAATATGATGAATGTCTTAAAAGGGTAGAATACTTTACATTTTACAAACTCCGCTCAATATTTGAAGGCTCACAATAGCAATATTAAAAGAACTTAATATGGATTAGTGACACTAGAAGGATGGTGGTAGCAGATGGCAGTATGATGGGCTAAGGGGACATGGTTGACCAGGCATCCCAGTTAAGGACTGACTCAAAAGCATGAATGACTTTGATCAGTTTGATTATAAGTAAGACCCAGGGTTTCTAGACAACTGTGTCTTTTATTGTCCAGATGAAAATTATAGATTCCAATTATAGATTCCACTGGGTACTTTGATGATGACGTTTATAACCAGTGGTACAAAAGTATTCTAGTTCATTCATTTATCCATCAACTCATTCATTCACTTATACATTAACTAATTTATCTACCTTTGTACCTCATATGGTGCTAAGACACTTGATGGCCTAAAAATATTGTTCCTGTATTTTAGGAGTTTATCATTTAGTCTACGGCCATACCACCCTGAATGTGCCCGATCTCGTCTGATCTCAGAAGCAAAGCAGGGTCAGGCCTGGTTAGTACTTGGATGGGAGGAGTTTATCATTTAATAAGAGATTAGAAGTATAATCTAATAATTTCAATGGAATGAGATAAATGCTAAAATAATATACATGTATATTATATGATACAACACATATAATACATGTATACATGTATATTATCTGTATATATTATATATACATGCACACATACACAAGGTCATTGGTGTACTAACTGTGGGTATTCTAACTATACCTGAACATAAAGACCTGGAGATAAAACTGGAGATGTGTTAGCATGAGGGAGTTCTATAGGCCTTTGTAAGGATTTTGGCTCTTAACCTGAATCAAATAGGCAGCCGCAAGATTTCAAGTAAAGTTAAAATAACCACTTGATGGGAAATTTCTCCAAGAGTTTAAAATCACAAATTATGGGCTGTAAACCACTGGCCTAAACTAATGATATCCTACCAGGATAAACCAAGACATTTTCTCCATGTATATTCTCTTTCTCTCAGGTACCACCGACATTTTTAGGTTCTGGGTTCTGAGGTGATGTTTTTGCCTGTTATAATGCTCTACAGGATGGGAATTGACATGTTTATAATTTTGTGAGTGTGGGAACAGCACTGTAGAAATCTCATTTCCGGCTGCTGCTGGAAAGAAGGCATGAACCTGTAGTTTGTAGCCATTTGGCCAGATTTAGGCTATATCCTTCAATACAGATTACTAGGAATAAAGGTGATACTTTGATCTCTGATTGACTGACTCCAGTATCTATCGTTCAGTTGGTTCTAAACTAGAAGAGAGGGTTATTGTATTTAACACTCATATATCCAGTAAATGCTCCATTTGTTTATGTGTCAAGGCCCTGGTGCTGAGGCCAAAGACTAACAAACAGAGGGAGAGAGGAGAGAGGATGAGGCGCTGGGAGAAATAGTAGTATTTTTAAAAAACAAAATTTTAATAAATAATTATATTCAAGATTACTTTAAGAAAATATGAATGCACTCCTTCTGCTTCTCAGTCTCCCCTCTCTCAGACTCCAGAAAATTAGGGTAACAGTCAGTTAAACATTTCAAAGTGCTCTCTTATGAGTGTAAAATGAAATACAGTCAACTAAAATGACATTGTTAAACAAAATAAGTATATGAGGCGAATTGGTGTTGGGTAAATTGGTTTTCAGTAAAATGGCCATTCAGGTGGACTGATTATTTGGCAAACTGCCTTATGAAAGATTAGTCTTTGGCAGTTTAGATTAGAGCCAAATGATTAATGGATCCTCTGAACAAGAACCACAAAAAATGTCATCCAGCCTCAGCTTGAACAACCAGGAATGAGAAATATGTTGCAATGCAAGACAATTCCGAACAACTGAAAAATTTGTTTTTACATACTTGCATTATACATGTCTCCTTATTTTGCACTCATATTTCTCCACTGGTCATATCCAACCCTCAAGAACAACATATAATTTTCAAAATCTGTTCTTTATATGCAAGCTTATAAATAAAAATTAGGAGCTATTGTTTTTTACTTGATGTTTCTTTAACCTAAACCGCCTGAGTTGGTGAGTCATCCCATTCTGTGGATTGATTTTTCCATCCCTTCACCATCTTGGTTGCTGTGTCAACCTGCCTCTCGAGGAAAATCACATACAAAAGAAAATTACACTGCTCTGAGTACTGCTAAGAACATGAGCATAGCCTTCTTTATTTTGAAACCTATTCTTAGGATTTTGAACAAGCAAACCTTATGGAATATAATCGAAATGCAAGCTTGTTTATTTATTAAAAAAATCTTCCAATCTGTTTTAAAAATGTTTCATTTGTAGAAATTCATCTCTCCTCTGTATGAAAAATCTGCCAGGTTCCTGAATTTTCTACTCACTCTTAGGTAATATAGAATACCCTGTTCACATTAATTCCCCAAATATCATCTTTGATAAAATATCAACCCTTAGATCCTAATTCAAAGATAAAACTCTGTTCTCTTCCTTCCCCAAGCTAGGGCTTGACTGTAGGCAAGCAGCCTATCTTCTGGGGAATGTCCTGGTGGACTTACTGTTTCTAGCTCACCTCCTTCTCCATCATCCCCACTAGCTGCTCTGACCCCTTTAGATTCTAGTGACGGGACAGGTAGGTGTCAGGAGATAAAGAGGTAAAAAGTAGGCTGTTTCACACTTGACTGGTATTCCATTTAGACACCTGTAGAGGTCTATTATTCTCTGAGTGAATTCCTCTTGAGCAGAATTTCATTTAAAATGACCTCAACCAGTCTCTCTCTCTCTCTCAATGGGGTGCCTGTACATGCCTGGCTCATATCTGATTGCAACGAAACACTCACTCACTTTTCATCTTGACAGAATTCAGTACAGGTGAATCCTAATGAAACAGCATTTCTCTCCTGGCTCTGCCCTCAGGCATCTCACCTATGGACCCTCCAGCTCCTCTGGCATTAGCACAATGTGCCTCCCAATCCAGGGGACACAAGTGAAGCTCTCTGCACGTCCAACGGAAGCCCCGATCTTTAGGCTTGAAGCTAAGGGGGAAGTACCCACTTCCTGCTGTAAAGGTGGAGAAGGGAGACTCAGCACTGAAGAAGCTCTCTCCAAAACATTTCTTTACAAATATAGTCTTAGTTGCTACTCCTATACCTCTTCATATCGTTCTTATGGGGTTCAGAGCCTTTAAACAGTTCAAAGTCACTTAATTAAAAGCTTTTGCTCAGTCATCCAATAGCTCACTTTGGAATTTAACATCTTTAACAGTTAAAACTCTCAGTTTTACCTATTATCTATACTTCTTTTAAAAGCAGCCCAAGATCAAATTAAATTTTGTTAGCACCCTTATGGCCCTCCATATGTCCTTGACTGAATTGCTTCACCTTTTATTCTTGTTGTAACTAAGAGTGTTCAGAAGAAACAATTAAAAAATGGGAAATAATGCAGATTAAGAACGTGCTATACATTTATTAACTCATATTAAAACCTCCTTTTAAAGAGCTTGAAGGCTTACATATTATATGCAGTCTTAAAAATCATGGCTTTTGGTATAGTTTTCCGGCTCTGAGGAGGTGAAAAAAAAGAAAGGGAGGGACCTAAAAACAAGGAAGGGGGTGACTGCTGTGCCTTTGCACCAAAAGAATAGACAACCTGGGAAAGCATCAACTCCAATTCTGAAGGCACAATGTCAAGGGCTTTGTTTATATCCCTGGGATACCAATTATTTTCCAAATAAAGCTTTACTGGTGTTTGCACACATAAGCGTGTGTGCGCACGCATGCACACACACCCACACACACAATTTCCCACCTTTGTCCTGTGTATTTACAGTCCAGGCTATGCACAGGGCAGAACAGGGTGGTTTAATTCTTAGGAAGTTCATTCCAATGGGAAATGAATTCTTGAATTTAATCCCATATATATTATCTTTCTAATCACAAGAAGGTATATTCCCATGTCCATATACAATAAAAAATCTTGAAATGAAATAAAACTCATACTCAGAAGAGAACAAATCCCCAGGAGCCATTTTCCACCAATCTGTTTTTATCTTCTGGAATTCATTCTCTCTCCTTTACTAAGAGATTCCTGTGAAAGTATGACTCAGTTCCTCCCGCAGGTCTTGACTACTATCTCCGAGACAAATTTCAAAACCAATCTGACACATTTTAAGACCACTTATTCAGACAACATTTTCTGACATACTTTTCAGTATTCTTGAAAGTCAACTGCTTTTTCATTTTCATCTCACTCCCCACTCCTCAAATCCTTTTCCTTTATTTTTAGTCCTTCATTATAAAAGCAATACATATTCATTAAAAAAACAAAATGTAGACAAGCAAAATAACATAATGTGCACTCATGATTTAGTCAGAGATATTCATTATGAATATTTCTGTGAATATTTTTAATATCCTTTTTAAATGCAAGTGTTCTTAATTTGTATGTAGGAACCACATTTAAATGCTATTATAACCAACTACATTAAACCAATCTGACAGTTCTTGACGACTTGCATTGGTGCAGATTTCTTTACCATAAGTATGGCAGAGAAGAAATGATTGGCTTTAAATGAATTACATATAAATAGCAAATACATATGAAAAAACTTTGAATACTCATTTCTAACAAATCTGAATTTTCACCAAATTATTGTGTTCTCTCTCTAGCTCCTAAGTTCAGCGAGGTTTGTATCCTTATATGCTTATGTTTATCCTTTTATACCTATGCACACACATTTTTGTGTGCATAGGTATAAAAGGATAAACGTGGTCATAGATTTGACATTTGGCTTAATCTTGAGATAAATTATCTTAAAGCTTTTATCACAATTTTCTCTTCCATTATATTTCCAAAAATATAACTGTATCTTTGGTGATGATTATTATATATATTTTACATTGATTATTATATATATATTTATTTAAAAAAAATAAACCTATACATACATATAATATTTTGGAAATTGCTTCCTTCACTTAGCAATATCTCTTAGACCTAACCAATCTTTGGAATAGTGGATTGCAGGCTTTGATTTTATTCTACAAACAATGAAGAACTTACTTACTTGCCAAGCTGGTGTATCACATGAACAAACAGGTTCCTGGATTGTTTATGGTAAGTAGCGTCATCAGAAATAACACCTTATCTGTAGATAGAGGCATTGTGAAATAACTCACTGTGGCTTAAATTCATTCAGTGGCAAGTTGTACAACATCATCTCCTTCTAAGTCAGATATTCAAGACCTAAAAATGGCAAATGTTATAAATAATTTTTCTGTAAGTTTTAGAAAGTATATTATCAAGAAATAGTTTCTAAAAAAGATATATATTTTTGCTTTATATTTTTTGGAATGATGTAAGTTAAAATTTTTTTAAAGTCTCTTAAAATTAAAAAAATTAATGTATATTATTAAATTAAAATAAAATAAATTATTATTACTATTAATTTTTACAGATACAATCTCTGTCAGTTGCCCAGGTTGGAGTACAGTGATGTAATCATAGCTCATTGCAGCTTTGAACTCCTGGGCTCAAGCAATCCTCCTATCCCAGTCTTCTGTGTGGGTAGGACTACAGTTGCTTGCCACCATGCCCAGCTAATTTTTAATATTTTTTGTAGAGATGAGGTCTTGCCATTTTGCCCAGGCTGGTCTTGAAACCCTGGCCTTGAGTGCTCCTCCTGCCTGTCCTCTCAAAGTGCTGAGATTACAGGTATGAGCCAGTGCCAAGTTCCAAATTACATTAAATTAATCAGTATTTAAAGATTTCTAAACTCTAAAATTTTTTGCATTTTTAAAAAAATATTTTACTCTGGGATACATGCGCAGGACATACAGGTTTGTTACATAGGTATACATGTGCCATGGTGTTTTGCTTCACCTATCAACCTGTCATCTAGGTTTTAAGCCCTGCATGCATTAGGTATTTGTCCTAATGCTCTCCCTCCCCTTGCTTCCCACCCCCATAACAGGCCCCCGTGTGTGATGATCCCCTCCCAGTGTCCATATGTTCTCATTGTTCAACTTTCACTTATGAGTGAGAACATGTGGTGTTTGCTAAACTCCAAAGTTTTTGAGCTTGGATCTTGTGTGTGTGATTTGCAATTTTTTTGTGTGCAAAAAGGCAACGTTTCTGTGGTAATACATCATGGATGCTGTGTGTGTGTGAGTGTGTGTGTGCGTATGTGTGTGTTTTAACAGATAAAAAGTGAAACCTAAAGAATTATTTAATATACTTAGACTTTTGGCTTCCTCAAAAAAAATCAGATAATAAAACTATTGTAATTTATTGAAGCAAGATAGCAAAATGTTTTATAAGTTAGCAGGTAGCATAGAAAAAGAATACCAAGAAAAAAGGGCAACATGGGCCTTTTTTAAAATAGTCACAACCGGCATGTTACCTAAATCAGTGGTCCCTAAACTGGGGTGATTTTGACCCCCAAAAACATTTAACAATGTCTGGAAATTTTTTTTGTTGTCACAACTGGAGAGAGTTGCTACTAGCGTCTAGTGAGTTGAGACCAGGGATGTTGCAAATTGTCTTATAATACACAGACCAGTGCCTTACAACAAAGAATTCCCCAGCCTAAAATGTCAACAGACATGCCAACCAATTTGAGAGGAAATGCCTTTGTTTGTATGTTAGTTTTGAAGACATCTGTCACTGCTCAAAATAAGCCAGCAGTCTCTCTTAAATATATGACCAAAATTCTTTCCATCCCTGAACTTCTTTGGAAGACACCAAGTAGGTGGTTTGCACACCAAGTCTTTGTTGGAGAGAATGTTTGAAACCTAATCTGCTGACTCTTGAACCCAGGAACCATATATATAGACTTACTATTTTTACATTTAAGGTAAGTAACTGCTTCAGTTTCATGGTGGTCTAAAACGTTGTCATAGATCTTACATTTGGCTTAATCTTGAGAAAAATTATCTTAAAGCTTTTATCACCATTTTCTCTTCTGTCGTATTTCCAAAAATATAACTATGTATCTTTGGTGATGATTATTATATATATTTTACATTGATTATTATATACATATTTTGAAAATAGTTATCATGTCCATCTGTTGATGACATTTGATTGCTTTCGTGGTAAATTTGTACCTGGGTAGTGTTTTATATTTTTCTCATTAGAATAACTTTTGCATAAGTCGGATTCTCATTTGGCATTTCAGTAAGTTTAAATGCTTATCAAGACTGTCTAAAGAGGGCTTGGGTGATGGTCTCTGAATTCACTGGGCATTAATAGATGGGCCTACTTAATAGTGCTCAAAAGAGGGGGACATATTAAACATGTGGGGACTTCTTCAAACCATAAATGTCAGAAGATTCTGCTACTATGTTTCTTTGGAGCTTAGTGTTAAATGCTCAGTATTTGCTTTTTTATCCTAGGCTCCTATTATTTTTTAATCTGTGGTGGTTAATTTTATGTGCCAATTTGACTGGGCTATGGGGTGCTCCAATATTTGGGTGTTTCTGTGACAGTGTTTTAGATGAGATTAACATGTGCATTGGTGGACTGAGTAAGGCAGATTGCTCTCATGCTGGGTGATTTATAATGTTATTGTGGTTATTAATGTGGTGGGCTTCATCCATTTAGCTGGATAGAACAGCCTGAATAGAACAAAAAGGCTGACCCTCTTCCTAACAAGAGAGGATTCCTCCTGTCTGTCTTTGAACTGAGACATTGATATTTTCCTGCCTTTGAATTCAAACAAAAACATTGCTTCTTCCTGGTTGAACCCTCCAGCCTTCTGACTGGGGCTCCACCATTGGTTATCCTCAGTCTCTAGTTTGCCAGTTCACCCTGCTGATCTTGGGACTTTTCACCCTCTATAATCACATGAGCCAATTCCTGTTAATAAATCTCTCTCTATAGAAAGAGATTTTTATAAGAAACTGGTTCTACTGCTTTGGAGAATCCAGATGAATACACTATTATGTAAATAATGGAACAATACCAATATTAATAATGATAAAAGTCATGGCTAACATTTGTTGTTCATTGAACTGAATATTTGTTACTTGTGTTTGTCTAGCACCTTTTCCCCCCTTTAGCTTTGAATACCTCTTTTTTATGAGGAGTTCATTTATTGCAAATATGATGAAATAGACCTGGCTTTTTCTCAAAGATCGAAGAGTGGGTATGATGAGTCTATCAGTGTGCCATTCTTTTCTCTAGTCATAGTGACTGGTTCAGAAATGAGCATATGATCCAAACAAAACCAATCAGAGTTTTTCTTTGGGTTCCCTCCAGGATAATTTGAGAGAACCCTCTTTTTCTATTAGGGTAGGATAGAAGCCAGTCTGAGAATGAAACCAGGTAGAAACAAGCAGAGCCAAAAGATGGCAAGACAGAAACTTGACTTTGAGCTCCTGGAGCCATCTGTGCCTAAAGACTAATTGCTTTTTAAATTTCCCAATTACAATTCCCTTTTGTGTTTAAGCTACTTTTAGTTGGGGTTTGGACACTTAAACTGAATGGTAATAAGAACTATGTTCTGGGCACTTTTTAAAGTACTTCATATGAATATAGTCAATTGACTCTCATTAAAACCATGTGAAGTAAGTTTCTTTATTTCTATATTTTACAGACAAAAAAAATTAAACTTAAGAGGAGTAACATGTTCAAGGTCATAGCTGATGAGTAGTACAAGGGAGGTTAGATTCAAACAGGCTCATCAGAGTCTTCACTGAGACCCACTATATTCAGGTGCTTATGCTGTGGAAAGCATAGATCATCTCATTTAGTTGTAAAACTATCCTAAGAGGTATTATTTTCTCTATTTTATAGATTGGGAAACTGAGGCTTAATAAAGCTAAGTCAGTTGCCTAAGATAATATAATAGTAGTAGATATAGCAGCATGTTTTTGTATATCTCTTTTTAATTTTAAAACTAGATCAACAATTTAAAAACTAAATTATACTTCTTTTCTATTTATAAGTCGGAAGATAGGGATAAAAAATAGGGACAAAAATATTGTTCTATAACTGAAAAGTAAAGTTTTATCTTCAGAGTGCTATAAATAATTAAAGTCTTGGACTGGGGGGTGTCTTTCAGATTCTTACGGGAGTAATCTGTTAATATCTATTTATTAAATAAATCATGGATAAATCTGATACCTTCTGAAGCTCAGTAGTCACTCATGGGACTTAGCAGCCAAAAATGAAGAGAGTATGTGCCTGAAGAGCTGATTCTGATCCTCCTCCTTCCTCTGAGGTGATGAGTAAGGTTTTACTCCCTTTTGTCTAGATTCCACAAGAAGTGCAGATTTGTTCAGTCATAATTTCACCTATGCTATGGGGTGTACCAATTAGGCAAAATCAGGGGTGGAGGTTGCCCGGGTTTAATTTAACATTGGTATCACATTCTTCTTCTTGTATTTGCAAAATTTATTCTTAAATAAAAATATGCTCAAATTAATTGTTTTATATCTGCTGGGAAAAAACTACTACATTGACATGATACAATCTTATATATACTATTAGAAAAACTTGGAGAGATTACAAAAGCATTATAAAAGCTCCTAGAAATCACTGCTTCATGATTTATTTCACGTGTGGCATTTGTTGTTGTTTTTGAGACAGTCTTGCTCTTTCGCACAGGTTGGAGAGCAATGGCTTGATCTCAGCTCACTACAACCTCCGCCCCACTTCCAAGGTTCAAGAGATTCTCCTGCCTCAGCCTCCCAAGTAGCTGGGACTACAGGCATATGCCACCATGCCTAGCTAATTTTGTATTTTTAGTAGAGATGGGGTTTCTCCAAGTTGGTCAGGCTGTTCTCAAAATCCTGATGTCAGGTGATCCGCCTGCCTTGGCTTCCCAAAGTGCTGGGATTACAGGAAAATGGCTGTGTGGCAATTTTATATGTCTCTATTTAGCAGATTTATGCCATTCTCTTGGGGTATATCAGGTGACTTCCTCACTTTATGTCTACCAAAATTGAAAGTTAACAGCCTCAACTTTTTGCTACCAACACAATAAGAAATAGTTTCTTGAGAATAGGATATGTGTTTAAAAAATATATCTATTTTGACATTGCTAGGCATTCATTCTCCATGGCTAATGATACTGAGTTGCCTAGGCTGGTCCAGATGAGGGATTAATGACTGGCCTTCACTGGTTAGGGAAGATGTAGGATTTTTTTCTCCCATATAAGTGATTACAAAATAAAAACCTCACGTGTTTCTGCTATGATTTGGATATTTGACCCTTCCAGACCTCATGTTATTTATTTATTCATTTATGTCTGAGACAGGGTCTTACTCTGTCACCCAGGCTAGACTGCAGTGCAGTGACATGATCACAGCTCACTGCAGCCTTGACCTCCTGGGCTCAAGCAATCCTCCCACCTCAGCCTCCTGAGTAGCTGGGACCGCAGGTACATGCCACCATGCCTGACTAATTTTTTTTATTTGTTGTAGAGGTGGGGTTTTACTGTGTTGCCGAGGCTGGTCTCGAACTCCTGAGTACAAGCAATCTTCTGGCCTCAGCCTCTCAAAGTGCTGAGATTACAGGTATGAGCTACTGTGCCTGGCCTCATGTTGAAATGTGATTCCTAATATTGGAGGTGGGGGCTAAGGGTGGTGTTTGGGTCATGGAGGCAAATCTTTTATGAATATTTTAATGCCCTTCCTGGGGTTGGTGGGGAATGAGTGAGTTCTTCATTAGTTCCTACAAAAGCTGGTTATTGAAAAGAACCTGACACTTTCCTCTCTTCTCTCTTGGTTTCTCTTTTGCCATGTGATCTCTACATGCCTTTGGCTATCCTTTTCTTCCCACCATGCATGAAAGGAGCTTGGGGCTCTCACCAGAAGCTGCTGCTGGCACCATGCTTCTTGTACAGCCTGCAAAACTATAAGCCCAATAAACCTCTTTTCTATGTAAATTACCCAACTTCAGGTATTCCTTTAAAGCAACATAAATGGGTGAAGACAGTCTGGTTTCACAGTTCTTATGACTGCTAGTCAAAGTGTCTACCAACTTTCTGGCTTTGGTTGATCTGATCATGGGATATCATGGGATATCTGATATCTCTAACTTCTAAGAGGCAAGTCAGGCCATAGAAAGAAATAGGTACTATTGACTGGCCTTTTGTCTTCATCATAAAGTGAACAAAATCTGGGATTGGCTACTGCCTGGTGTTGGCAGGAACAGAAATGAAAAATGTGTCAAAGAGGCAGGTGTTACTGGTAACTGCACTAAATTAAAAGTCTGTCTTCATATAATTTTTTTGACTCACTTCACCAAGTTAGGCTTCAATTAAGGCCACTTCCTTTTTGTTTCCCCAGCGAACTTCTTGAGCACTGGTAAGGAACATTTGGAGAAGATTCTTCTAAGAAGGCCTGATCCACTTGATGCCCTGACAAAAGAAGTTAATCTATTATGGTAATAGAAAATGTCAAAATTAAAACTGTTGGCTGGGCGCAGTGGCTCAAGTCTGTAATCCCAGCACTTTGGGAGGCCGAGGCGGGTGGATCACAAGGTCAAGAGATCGAGACCATCCTGGTCAACATGGTGAAACCCCGTCTCTACTAAAGATACAAAAAATTAGCTGGGCATGGTGGCGTGTGCCTGTAATCCCAGCTACTCCGCAGGCTGAGGCAAGAGAATTGCCTGAACCCAGGAGGCGGAGGTTGCGGTGAGCCAAGACCGCGCCATTGCACTCCAGCCTGGGTAACAAGAGCGAAACTCCGTCTCAAAAAAAAAAAAAAAAAAAAAAATTAAAACTGTTTCCAAAACCAGATAAGCCAAAGGTCATTGTTATCTTCCAATAGGATGTTGTGCATCTATACTGAAAGAGATAATTTTTTTTTTTTTTTGAGATGGGGTCTCACTCTGTTACCAGGCTGGAGTGCAGTGGCGAGAATTCTGCTCAGTATAACCTCCACCTCCTGGGTTCAAGCAATTCTCCTGCCTTAGCCTCCTGAGTAGCTGGGACTACAGGTGTGTACCACCACACCCAGCTAATTTTTGCATTTATTTTTACTAAAGATGGGGTTTCACCACGTTGGCCAGGATCGTCTCGATCTCTTGACCATGTGATCCACCCACCTTGGCCTCCCAAAGTGCTGGGATTACAGGAATAAGCCCCTGTGCCCCGCAAAGGGAGAATTTTTTAAAAACAATCTCTTTATCTATGTGTACCCTACTTCTTCATTTAGTTGGGTATGTCTTTAAGTATTTTCCTGAAATTTACTCCTCTTCAAAGTCTAATGGATTAAGTTTTGTGGAAATTTCAATAAATGTTCAAATCACTGTTTCTTTTAGCTTTGCTAGAGGTAACAAAACAAAATAAAACAAAACACCAACCTACCAACCAACCAACCAACCAACCAGGACACTCCTTTCAATTCCCTCCAGTATTATAACTCAGAATTCTTGCTAAGGGTTAGCAGGCTACTGTGTTAGGCAGAATTAATGCCCCCATCCATGTCCCATGCATATTTACACCCAAATCCCTGGAATCTGTGAGTGTATTTCATGGCAAATGCTTTGCAGATGTGATTAAGTCCAGGATCTTGAAATGGGGACTTTATCCTGTATTATTCTAGTGGGCCCAATGTATTTAGAAGTTTATTTAACAAGGGCAAGAAGAAGGCAGGTGAGAGAAGATGTGACATCAAACACAGAGATCAGAGTGATGAGTTTGCTTCAAGGAGGTCATGAGCCAAGAAATGCAGGCAGTGTCTAGAAGCTAGACAAGGCATGAAAATGGATTCTCCTTTAGAGCCTCCAGAAGGTGTTCAACTCTGCTGACATCTTGATTTGAACCCAGTGAGATTCATTTAGTAATTCTCATTTTCAGAACTGTAAGATACTAAATTACATTGTTTTAAGCCACAAGGTTTTGTTAGTTCATTACGGCAACATTAGGGAATGAAAACAACTGCAAACACCCTCCCCTGTTCATCAGCTCCAGTGAGCAAGAAACACTGGCCAGACTCAGGACTCCTAGAACACCTAAAATTGTCTGATGTTAGGCACAGGTCTCAAAGCAGTGTGAGTAATATTAAGTATGGTTGATGGTATTGAATTAATAAGAAAATAAAATTTGTGTGAAAACCTTTTACTGATTTCTGTTTCTTTAGTCCTATAATTTCAATTTCTTTGTGATTAAGAAATTAAAGTTTAAGAAGTCTCCTAGCACTCACCTATCTCTCTCTTTTTTTTTTTTTAAGATAGAATTTCCCTCTTGTTGCCCAAGCTGGAGTGCAAAGGTGCAATCTTGGCTCACTGCAAACTCTGCCTCCTGGGTTCAAGCGATTCTCCTGCCTCAGCCTCCTGAGTAACTGGGATTACAGGCACACACCACCACGCCCAGCTAATTTTTTGTATTTTTATTAGAAATGGGATTTTACCATGTTAGCCAGGGTGGTCTCAAACACCTGACCTCAGGTGATCTGCCTGCCTCGGCCTCCCAAAATATTGAAATTACAGGCATGAGCCACCTTGCCTGGCTGCACTCACCTGTCTTTAAGCGCAATATCTCCTGTTTGATCACTGACCCCCAAATGATCACCATCCATTCCAATTAGCTAGGAATTCTAAAGGCTAGTCAGTACAAAGAAGGGCAGGGAGTCAGACATAGAAGTGAAGATGGCAATCAGCTCCCTACTGCCTTTGCTGCTGTCTGCCACATGGTGTCCTGCAGAAGACTGTTCTGCAAAGATGAATTGATGTTTGCTTCATCTCGTTTATGCCTTTGTTAGCCCATGTCCAACAGGTGTGCCACACTTGGATGCCAAGGAAGTTGCCCTGGTGTTCATTAATTACTCTTCAAATGCAACATTCAGCAAACTTAAATGGGGAGATTCTCCTGGGTGCTTCTATAGCTCAAAGGCATTGTCCCTAAGCTATATATTATGCCACCACTAGCCTTTTCCCATAAACATGTACTTCTATGTGGGAGCTTAAAGCAATAAATGTTTCTCTCTTATCCTTCTGATGAATGCTCCCTTTGAGGTGAAAGTCACTTCTTGGTTCTAGGTTCTAGGTTCCCCTAATTTCAACTCTTGGGATCCACAGCTCAGGATCCAAGTTCTTTCTTTCCCTGAAAACTTTGCACTTCTTGTGACAGTAGCTTCACTTCCTTCCACAGGGATGGTTTAATGGGTTCTGTTGGGGAACCCTTTAGGGCATTGGATACCTGCTCTGTCTACATTTATATACAGAGCCCACTTACTTGATTCCTTTTAGGACTGAAGTGTGGCTCTGACTTCCTTTATGAGGGAAGCATCATCTTCCTACAACATTTAATCACTCCTTCGCCTGGCATTGCATTTAATCACTGCCTTAACAGAGACCTCTTATATTTTATTGTGTTGACTTCTGACTCATGGTAACTTCTTTCCATTAATTCTTGGTCTTTTAAAACTCTCTGGATAATAGGAGAAATGTGCAATGAATTATCCTCATACACCTGCCATGTAGACACAGACATGGGGTGATTGTTCTCTGATCTATCCGATGATATTTTGATTTTTCATCATCATAATCAGTTCTGTCTGGGCAAGCACCAGTCTCTTAATTTAGTCCACACAGGGGTAAAAAGGGATATTTATCTCCCTTATCCTGAACTTCAGACTTCTATTCATGCAGCCCAGGGATGAATTCACTTTTTTAGCAGCAACATCTCATGTGAATTTCTTGAACTCACAGACAAGTAAAATTCTTCTTAAGGTACTTGTGTTATGTGTAGTCTGTGTCTGAATATTCATTTTATCTCTATTTTTTTCTTATTTTATTCAGCTTAGATTTCAATTATTTCAATAACATATTACAGATGCTATATAAAAATTTAATTATTTTCAGATTTCATTGTAATAATTTCTCTACTGTCAATCAACTTTTTGAAAGAGGCCAAAGATACTTCATACCTTTCTTCAGTTTGACATTCTTCTTTTGGTTAGCATTCTTTGGGTAAGAGTGCACAAAGACACCCTTTATTGACAAGGAATATTAAAGAATCAGAAAATTCTAGGTTAAAATCCTTATTTTTCTGTTATTAGCTGTGTGACGTTGAACAAATTGCCTCTAATTTTATAAATAATTTAAAATATGGGGATATTTATTGGCCACATTAGATTATTGTTCTGGTATTGTGTGTACATATGTTTATGTGCATGTATGTGCAAGTGTGTATGTGTTTCTATGTATATGCCAATGTTTATGCATGGTTTGTATGTACATAAATATGTTTATGTATATGTGTATATTTTGTGTGTAGAATATACATATACATACACATGTGTAAATATAAACATACATTATATGTGTTATGTGTATATTTACATAAGTGTATGTATATGTATATGCTTCTGTTTGTATGTATATGTCATCAAAGTCTTGAAATGTATACACATACATTATATGTGTTATGTGTATATTTACATATGTGTATGTATATGTATATGCTTCTGTTTGTATGTATATGTGTGTAGCTGCATATTAGGTGTGTGTATATTTATGTATTGATTATGCGTGCATGTAGCTATCTGTATTCTGGAACATACTAAATTGTCAATAAACAGCAGATATTAAAATTAACAAGTCAAACTATGACTACAGCCACCACACATGATACTCAACTGTATCAGAACAATGTCTTGCACAGTATCTGGCATAATAAACATTTCCCGCAACCTCTCTGGTAAATATAGATATAAAGGAAATTATATAATCCCGGCATGATTTGGTCCTTAGTGATCATCTGTTTACATCATAAGTGTTTACCAGCCTTTTATACTCTAACATTTTGCTAGGGATCTATCCAATGTCTTTGGCATATAGTTTAGTAAATTGAACTGCTTTGACTTCTTTGAAATGGAAACATGTATTTGCCCTTTTTCTACCTGCCAGCAAGACTTCTGTTCTCCATAGTTCTTCAAAGATGACTATTTGCAGTTCACTGATGTCAGGATGTCATCTGAGCCATCTTTTGGTCTTGTGGAATGGAGCCTTCTTTGGTCATCAAAGTCTTTTGAAATGTGCATTTTTTTTCAACCTTCTTACCTAGCTTAAACTTTAATTTCCTCCTCCCAGTATTTGCTTTCCCATTTCCAATCTGACAATTAAACTTCTTAACCAATATATTAATAAAATCTCTCTTGATTAAAAATGCAGGAAATCCAACTTAAACTCTTTTAGGACAAAAAGGAATACCTTGGCTTACATAGCTGAGGGATTCGAGGGTAAGGCTTATTTCAATCATGGCTGAATTCAGGGATTCAGAGGATGTCCCCAGGAGCCCAGTTTTCTTGCCATATTTGAGCTCTTATTCCTCCTGTGAGTGAGCTTTTGACCTGGTAGGGAAGATAACTACTGATTTTGATTCAAATCCAAAATGATGAGAAACTCTCTCTCAGTATCCATGAATCAAATATCCTGGGGAGAATGTGACTGGCATATTTGGTTATATGCTCGTGGCCATGGCCAGGCAGGCTGGGCACTGTGGTTCATTAGACCTCATGAGATTCAGGAGGGATCCAGAACTGTGAAACAGTGGTCTGCTACAACAGAGAAAGGACATGAAAAGCTTTTCATTCTACCTGTCTTTTGCAGACTTTACACTACTGTCCCCAAATCTTTCTGTTGCTTTCTGTATACTTTCAAAAAACCGATTTTCATCTTTCTTGGTAATTTTGCAATATTTTCTTTATTCTCTTGGTATTAGTTTTCGCTGTTTTGATTCTTCTATTCTTTGAAGATGGCATCTTTAAAATTATTCTGTTTATTGAAGAGCTGGTTGAGCTGTCCAAGTGGTTTCTTTACTGTTTCTCCCTCATCTTCCATGATTAGACTCTCAGATCTGTGTATTTAAAAGCCTAGAGTCTTTTGCTTCTCCAGTCTCTGCTTCTCTGGCTATGAGATCATGTGTATCTTCTTTCTGAACCTCTGGAAAGCCACCTTCTTTTAGTTTGAAGCATATATATAGCTTTGCTCAGGCTTCAGAGCTTCCAGACTGTAAGATTCTGTTACTGGTAACCCCTTTCTTGGCAAAGGATTCTACCATTTTCATTTTGCCAATGACTACTTTTTCTGCTGGCCAGAATTATGTCCTAAGCAGCTCCCTTCATTACTTTTTCTGTCTTCTGAAAGATAAAGATTTAAGTATGATGTACCCCATGCTTTGCTCTTAGCTGATTGTGACTTCCTGGAGACATTTGGATAAGCAGAATCTTCATCACTTCTGTATCTTGCCTCTGTATCGGTGCCAGCTTTGTAATCAATGCTAGGACATGATTGCCCATTCTTTCTTCCTGGAATGGCTGTTTTACCAAACATCCCAACCCTATCACCAATAATAATATCATTTTGGCAATATTTTCTTTCATCTCTATCCAGATGCTCTTTATCATTCTGCCATCGCTGATTTTGTTTTTTGCAAAGGTATATATCTTCTTGACACAGAGTGCCACTCCATTTGCACAATGTAGTACATTCCATGAAAGATGCTTCTTGTGAATTCTATTTTGCCAAGATGCAATGATGTTTATGAGGGAGTGTTCATTTTCTTGTGCAAACATCAAATTGTATTTTTGGTATATTGGTATTCAAACACTAGGAATTTAAGTGCTATGTCCTACTGCCTCTTACTTTCTGCTGTGAATTACTAGGTACATTATACACTGGTTTCATACTTTAGAGTTTTACCTGGGCTTTTCCCTCTTTTTTCCTTCCACTATTTCAATTTTAAATCCTCTAAAACAAGAGACATATCCCCAGTGAACACATTCTTCTCGTTAGGAAAATAAATCAAATCTTATTACAACCAATGCAAAAGAAACAATTCTCATTTTTCTTATTTGTACTGGGAATGTGTATTTTCAAATGACATTAGGACAACAGGGCCTATAGAGTAAGTTTGCAAAATTCTTCTATAATGATTCTTACCATGGAGACCTATAATATGTTTGAGTTGTGACTGGTGTCCAGTTTGACTAAATATGCTACATCATGCTCCAACTTATTCACATCTACAGAACAGGTTCCATGTGTGGCTTTTAAGGACTTTCCTGTCCCTAAGGGCTGAAGAAGTGTAACTAGGGAAGTGTAAAATAGCTCACAGTAGTAAGAGTAGATCTTTTTCATAGCATAACCAGGACCTGATAGGTCTGAAGGCTCAGATAGAGAAGCTGCAGAAACCCAGAAGTGGGGGTAGGGGGTGTTCTATTTCTGTCCTCTCTTACCTCTGTCTCTGCCATGTGCTCCTGCCTTTGCCCTGCCCTCACATTTGCTTCTGCCCAGATATTTCTCCTGCTCTTACTCCAGCTCTGCTCCTTTGTTGTGAACCTTGGTCCAACTTTGGTTTATACCTGCCTTTGACTCTGCCTTACCTCTTCGCCTGTCTTAGGGCCTGTGCTTTCCCTACAGCCAAGGGTCCTGGGACCAAAGGTATTCTGAATGTGATATAAGAGTTTTGGAGCAGAATGCCTGGAGAAAGTGCTGAGTGTTTACCAGTTTCCTTTGCTCCTTCTGGGGTGCAGGTAAAGAAGACGAGGAGAGAAGAACTGACATCAAACATTTAGAAGATAATTAAGAGGACCTCAAGCTGCCTTAGCAGAGCGCATCTCCTGAAGTGCAGATAAAATCAATATCAAGGCTCAGACAGACATGGAGATAAAAGTCCCATGAAAGAAGACCTAGAGTTTTCATTGAGTAGGACTCAGCACAAGAGCTGGCCCAGCTGCCTCATCATGGTTTGAACCTTTGTTTTCTTATCTGTAAGATAACACCTACGGTGCCAGGTTGAGTTTTTGGCAAGCAGAAAGTTAATTTGCAGAATTATTAGAGAAAGCTCTTGGTGTCAACACCTATGAAAACAAAGGAGGGAAAATCACAATGGCATAGGGAAAAATCAAGGCCAAGTTTGTCCTGCATTGATCTGAAATGCTGGACCTTTATACCCCTGCCTCCATTAATCATTGGATGAGGATCACCTAGGAAGGATGTGGGAGATGTGATCCTTGAAGGGGCTGTCTGTCGAAGGATGCTTGCTGATAGCTCTCCCACTAGTAGAAACAAAAAGTCATTCCTTGAGGGGATCTTGGTAACATTTTCTGTGTGTTTCTTACCTGTTAAACCTGGTTTTGTGAGAGAAATTAACTGTAAAACTTACTGTAAATGTTAATTTTATAATTCATACCATGATCAAATATTTATTAAGGGTCTATTCTGTAATAGCTCCTTGATATAAATAAAAATATTAAACCCGACTTTTTTCTTTTTTCTTTGCTGTTGGCTGAGTCTTGCTCTGTCATCCAGGTTAGAGTGCAGTGGTATGATCTTGGCCCACTGTAGCCTCCACCTCCTGGATTCAAGTGATTCTCCTGCCTCAGTCTCCTGAGTACCTGGGACTACAGGTGAGTGCCACCACACCCAGCTAATTTTGTGTTTTTAGTAGAGACAGGATTTTGCCATGTTGGCCAGGCTGGTCTTGAACTCCTGGCTTTGTGATCTACCTGCCTTGGACTCTCATAGTTCTGGGATTACAGGAGTGAGCAAGGGTACTGAGCCTGACTTTTTTCTTTAATGTATGTTATTTTTTCTCTTAAAGTTGATAGTCTTCTAGACCCACTGCAGTCGTCCTCAAATAACCACCAAAGCATCAGGGTCACCCAGAAATACATATTGGATACTAACTACGTTCAAGACTTTAGAAACGTAAATCTTTTCTGCATAAAATTCTTCCTTGGCATTTCAACACCATAAACAGTAGAATATTTGTGGTAATTGTTAAGCAGGATAATTGCCAATACATAATTTTTAATATACTGTGACATAATTACAATAACAAAATTTACATATTTTAGTACTTCCTGAAGAACAAAATTAAAAACGCTTTTAAGTTAAACATTCTCCTTGAAGAATACATAAATAGTGGTGTAATAACTGAGCCTCAGGAAAAAAATAAAGGGAAATACCATTTAATATGTTTTATTATCAACTAGGGAGCCAAAAATAAGTCATACGTAATGGAATTTCATTGTGTAGCAGTGGAATTTCCCTCAGAGTTTTATTAAAAGCTTTAACATAGTTTGAACTCCTTAGTGAAGTCAATGGCCTGTCCAAGGTCTGAGTCAGCATTTTAAGTAAATATGCTAATTTTTTAGCTCAACAAAGAAAATGTTACTTTTCATGCATTTCCGATGTAAAACAATCTTTTTATTCTATTACTTATGAACTACTCAGTGAAACCTAACTGAATGTTTTGATTGGTTATATTAAAATTTACATTTCCTCAACAATCTGAGAATGGTTTCGTTGTTGACTGATCACAGTAAGATTAAATTTGTAGTCCATGAATTAATAAGAGGTATATTAGATACAAAGCCTAATACAAATCATAATAGTGATCATTTTGCATTTGTATCATTTTACATATTCAAAAGGACAAACCATACTCCTTAGTTGCTTTTTAGAACATTAGATATGTATATGCATGCAAATGAAAGTATAGAATAAGAAAATAGATCTAAAACATTACTTTTTCAGTTGTCCTGTCATTTCACTTGTCCCCTCTTTAGAAACCCTGCAGGTATACTACAAAATTCTATAATCTTACTGTTTAGAGTGTGAACCTTGGATGAGAATAGGTTTTACTTGGTTGCCTGGTAGAAATGCTGGTTTTCAGGACTTATGCCAAAACTGCTACACTGATATCTGCATTTTACCGAGTTACCCAGGTAATCTGTATTCACATTAAAGTTTGAGAAGAAATAAGTCTGCAGTTCTTTGGTCTCTAGCAAACTGAAGTTAAAATTCCAGTTTTTAAAAACATTTTCAGATAATTGCTTCTTTCGTTTAGCTATTTAGTTATACAAATAAATTTAAGTATAACATATTCTGAGACATAAAACTCCATACAGAAATGTGAGTCATTGAAGTTAATTTCTGTTTTAAATTCTGAGGAGCTAAAGGTATAGAGTAGAATTAGAAAGCTTATCTTTGAATAAAAATGCTCAAGTTATCCAGTTATAAAATATGATTAATGGGCTAATTTCATTTTTGCATGTATTTGACCTTTTCCATCAGAATGGTTTCCTAGAAACGTTAAATGGAGGCTTCAGGAAGCAAGCAGAGAAAACAATTCCCATCAAATAACATCATTTGACCACTGCTTACACAGAACAATCACCTTATGAACTATTTTCTTATTTCTTTTCATAAGTGAAATTTCAAAACAATGGTTTCCCCCATTCACTCCATTTCTAGTGGGTAACATAAGAGGATTTGCAGCCCTGCTTGGTTTATGATTCTCATATTATGGACTCTGCTCTGCAGTTAGATGAAATAGGACCTCAAATGCAGTGGATGTTATAGTTAAAGCTGTTCTTATGTCATTTAGAGATTGTTTTTAGATTAAGGATCATTTGACCTTGAGTTACTGTGGTTGCTTTATTATCTGATCATGGTGCCTCCAATAAGCGTTTGTCCAGTGCTTTCAGCCCATTACCTGCCTGTGCCATTATAAAGCTTCTTGCTTCAGAAGATCTCTCAGTATGGTTAGAACAAGGTAAAGAGCTTAAATAAGCAAGCTATATTTATCAGCAATAAAAAGCAGTCCCTGGAAATGTCCTACCCAGAAAATTAATCTATAAAGGATAGCTCTACCTGATGAAAATAGAATTGATTTTATATTCTAGAATTATTTATTAGTTTTATTGTGAGCAGATAATACTCTTACATTGATAATAGAGATTTGTATAGCACTTTCATGGTAGTCCCTATAAATAGATCAAAAAAAGGTATTTTTTTTTTTTTTTTTTGGAGACAGTGTGGCTGAGGCTGGAGTGTAGTGGTACTATCTTGGTGCACTGCAACCTCTGCCTCCTGGGTTCAAGTGATTCTCGTGTGTCAGCCTCTGAGTAGCTGGGACTACAGGCAGGCGCCATGATGCCTGGCTAATTTTTGTATTTATAGTAGAGACAAAGTTTCACCATGTTGGCCAGGTTGGTCTCAAACTCCTGACCTCAAGTGTTCTGCCTGCCTCAGCTTCCCAAGTTGCTGGGATTATAGGCGGGAGCCACTGTACATAGCCAATGGTCTCTTTACATTAAAATAAAACTCCACATGGTATATTCTGTAGTGAGAAAACTGCAGTCTAAAGCTTCACATGGTATATTCTGTAGTGAGAAAACCAAAGAGGAGGAAGCATGCCTATAGCAGCTTCAATAAGATGAAATAGATGAAGTTATATATGATATGAAACAACAAAGAGGAAAGTTTTTGGGTAAGATTGAGAGGTCTAGATGACTCAAGTTAGGGATAATTTCAATGCTAAACACTGCAACTATGCCATCAAGGAGACCAACACTGACGGCAGGTAATAAGGAGGCAGTAGATAGAATAATGGACTTGAACTTGGAGAATGAAGTTTCTATGCAACTGCAGCTTACGTTAATAGCAGGACAATGTTTCGATTACATGTTGGCAGTTACCCCTAAAATTTGGGTTGTTAAAATGCTGCAGTTTTTACTTTTCTTTGTCAGGGCCTCCCCACATCCAATTGCTATCCTGTTACCTAACATAGTGCCTTACATAAGTGATTATTACATATTTGTTAATGACGATGAAATTTTAAGAATATTTTAGAAACAGTGGCCATAACATGGCCTCAGACAAGGGCTTAAATAATAGAAGCATCAAATCTCTTACAAAAGAGCATATAAATAAAACAGCACCAGAGCTTTGATTGTATCACTTAAGAGTGAGTTCACAGATCACAGATTCTCTCTCTCTTTCTCTCTTAAACACAATTGAGAAATGCCTGCAGCTCTGGCAAAAAGACATAAGCCAAATGTAGATCAAAGAAACATCTAAGTATTGTATTTTCTTAGCCACTGGTATGAAGTGGGATATGATAATAGAGAGCAGTTTTATGTCTTACAGAAATAGAAAACGATTTTATGTTTATTTTGGTCTTCATTCAAAGGCAGTATTTTCAGATATTTCCATACCACCAAAGGACTTCTATCTCAACCACAGTGAATGATGATGGACTTAAACAACAGGGTTAAAATCATTATAATAAAGTTACACCAGATTCATCTGGGCTATAAAAGTTAAAGATATAAAAATAGACTAGTCCTAATGTATGACTCACCCTCAGGAGGGCATATGCTTTTCCAGTAGCAGTAATAGGTCAGACCAGATCCATTTCTACTCTCTTGCCCAGCAATAGTCCCTGGTGGCATTTGTGTTTACTGGGGCTTTGCGACAAGCAGTGTTTAACTGCTTTACAGGAAGTACAGGGGCAGGAAAGAAATTATAAGACCTACTTCTACAGGCATGGAGTGACCAATGAGATTATTATAATCTTAAGTGTAAATGCTATCTTTATTAAAATACCAGGAAGGTGAGTGATCATTACAAAGATAACAATTCTATAAGGCAATATATAATTGTGATTATAGAGATTTGGAAGCCAAATAAATGGGTTGCCTGATAACCACATATTATTGATTGCAAAATATTAGTTAAATGGGCTGGACATGGAGGCTCATGCCTGTCACGCCTGTGATCCCAGTACTTTGGGAGACTGAAGCTGGCAGATCACTTGAGGTCAGGAGTTCAAGACCAGCCTGGCCAACATGATGAAACCCTGTCTCTACTAATAATACAAAAATTAGTCGGGTGTGGTGGTGCACACCTGTAATCCCAGCTACTTGGGAGGCTGAGGTGTGAGAATCATTTGAACCCAGTAGGCAAAAGTTGCAATGAACTGAGAATACACCACTGCACTCTAGCCTGGGCAAAAGAGTGAGACTCTGTCTCAAAACAAAAAACAAAACAGAAACCTATTATTCACAGTTCTGGAGTCTGGAATGTCCAGGATCAAGGGACTGGCAGATTCCATGGCTGGTGAAGGGCCACTTCCTGGTTTGTAAGCAGCTGTGTCCTAACACAGTGGAAAGGGTGAGGGATTTCCCTGAGATCTGTTTCATAAGGTGACTAATTGCATTTATGAGAGTGGTACCTTCATGACCTAATCAATTCCCAAAGATCCTGCCTCCTGATATTCTCATATTAGGGGTTTGAATGTCAACATATAAATTTAGGGGAAGGGAACACAAACATACAACTCTATGTCCATTGAGAAATATGAGCAAAAGTGATGTGTTTTCTCTGTCCATCAGTGAACCTTCTCCATCTTCTCTTTTGCCATCTATTGGCTGGAAGTGAAAGATTCCCAGGCCCGAGAAGATGGTGTGGCTATGGAATGGGAGGAGCCTGGGAACATGAATCACTCCCTAGAAGACTATCCTAATAATACCTACAATGAATTATTGTATGAACAGGACATATTTTTATGGCATTAAACCACTGAAACTTTCTGAATTGTTTATTAGAGTAGCCATTATTATATCAAGAGAGTGTATCTTCAAATTTTAAGTAAATTTTAACAAATAAATAAAAGGACCTTTACCTCTTTAAACCATGCCTTATTGAAAATCCTCAAAATCAAGTGTTCTTGATAAAAGTTATGCTAATATGCACAGTTTTGGTATAATTTACACTTTACTTATTTGGTAGGTGCTTATCTTAGTTATGATTTTCTCATGTGAAGAATCTGTATGCTTCAACTGTGGGAATATTAGAATGAAATGTTCAGATGTCTCTTCACTGTGAACCTTTCTTCCTTTTTTAGAATTGTGAAATATGCAGGCTAATGGCCCTGAAAAAGGCACCTTTGAAATAGACTAAAGATGATGATTGGATTATCAAGATTTGAATAATATTTTCTAATGTGCTTTTAAACTCCTTAGTGGAAAAACCTGAATGGGGAACAAAATTGTTCCTGGCCTGGCTAGTAGTGCAGGGGCCCCTTTGAAATGTCATTAATCCTTTCAAACATGAGGATCTGTTTATCCAGTAATCTATTTTTAGGGCCAATACATTTTATTTCTCACATCATAAAATAATAGATGCTTAGTAAAATCACAAGAAAAAGTTTTAAAGTATAATAAAAACAAAAACATACTTTTGTCTGATAAATCAGAGATGCCATTTACATTTATATTTTGCTGGGTCTTTTTCTCTGTATTAAAGTATGTTTACTTTTCTGGCTGGTTTTAATTCTGTTTATTTTATATTTTAATAATCTCATGTATATATTATAATAATGCAAACAATAAAGAAGTACATGTAATACAAAGAAAAAGTCTCTCTTTACTTTGCCCAGCACCACTAACCTGTACAGAGTAAAGCCTTTTTCTTATTTAAAGTGTGACCTTACAGATATGTCCTTTTGCATTGAGGCATTTATATATATTTTTCTGTGTAGATAATTTCAAATGTAATGTATATATGATATATAGATAGGATATATAAACAGATGTGTATGTGTAGGTGTATATGTCCATATATATGATATACACAGATATATGTTATGTTTTTATACTTAACATTATATTTAGAGGGCTTTCCTGTGTAATGAAACACATTTAATAAAAATATAGTTCTTCACACAGCCATTTTATAAGTAATTAAATTATGACATATTAATAACTTCTTTAAATATTTTAAAATTTAACATTGCTATGGGCATGCATCTTTGCATCTTTGATTATCTTTTTCAAAGTTCTGAATTAAAATAGATCAAAGAATATAAACCGTTTCATGACTATTGATGTAAATGTTTCCTCTGTTTTAATAAACATATCTCCCAAATAAATATATTTATAATATTTCTTGATTTTACAAATCTGGAAATCAGAACAGAGAAAAAAAATTCTTGTTATCTTTTACTCTTAGAGTCTACCTACTGGAAAGCAACATGAGTCAGAAATGTCACAGTCACTGGCACTCAACCTTTTCTGCACATTAGTTTATTAACAAATAATGCTGACTCCCACCCTTCAGATATTCTGATTTAATTGGGATGGGTGCAACCCAGACATTGGGATTTTAAACAGCTCCCTGAGTAATTCTAATGTGCAGCAAAATTTGGAAACCACCCTCATAGAGCATTCAACCATTGGAAGATACTCAGACACATGTAGCCAAGAGGTCAAATGAAGGTCACTAGCAGATTTCTATGCTTGTTATTTAGAAGAAATACCATTTCTTCTGGTAGTGAAAACATTGCTGATAGAAACACTGCTGATAGTATTCAAGACTATTAATCACCTTGACTCTCAAAATAAATCCAACTAGAAAAATAGGATTGACCTAATCTAATACTGTAATACTCTAAAGCATTAGATTGTAAAAGCATCTTCCCCAACGACTACTGGAGTGTTTGGAAAAAAGCATCCCATTTTTGCAAACCGATTTTTGTCTTGGCTGTAGTGTTTGCTTGTTTAAGCATTAATGACTTGATTTGGAAAGAAATAGCTTCCTGAATGGCCTGGATTAAGAAGAGCCCTCTTTACTCTGCCAGAAATTGTGTACAAATGCTAGCATGTAAACAGTGCAACCCGTGACATTTTTTTACACTCAAAGAGGCAAGGTGACACACATGGCTTAAGGGCTAAAAGAAACATGAGAGCTGTAACGCAGTTACAATCGGAAGTGCTAAATTTCCCTTGGGACCATAAGGAAAGCTTCCTGTTCTTTGTAGATTGGCCTATTATTGGAATACATTTGCACACAGTTAATCCTCAAAGTAATTAAATGGAAGGAAGTGATTAAATCACCAAGAAAAAAAGTGCTGCATCTGAAGCATTCAGGCAGAGTAAGTCTGTTGGTTAGGCATGAATATTAGTTAAAGAAGCATCTGCCAGTTAACCTGGGCTACTAAATTGTGTGTGTGTGTGTGTGTGTGTGTGTATTAGCAGTGTTGAAATATGAAATAAATCTCTAAGAACAGGAATTTTAAAAGTCACAGATACCTTGGTAGAATTATGTTAAACATATGTTATGCGTAGTCCTCAGCTAATTTAGTAAAGCAGTATTATATTTTCTCCCCAATGACTTATAAATGGAAAAAAATTTAATTGAACTGAGCTGAAAGTAGAACAAACAAATCCTAACATGGCTTTGGTAAATGTTAGTTTTATCATGCCACTTCCATTTTTAGTAGATTCAGGAAACCTGGTTATTAATCTTACTGTTTTCAAATTACTCAATTTTGGACAAGTTACTTGACCTTTTAGAGTTTCCGCAAAATAAAGGGATTGGGCTGTATGATTTTGAGCTTTCTTCTGGCTCTAAAAAGTTATTGGTCTAAGAAAAAATAGAAAAGCATAACCAGAAATCTCATGTTAAATTATTAAAATTCAATATATCATTAAGATAAATATGAGTGGAAAATGAAAGATACATAATGGAATATGTTACATACATAACTGTCCATCACAAAATGCGATTCTGTGTTCTTCAAGAACTTTGTGCTATGAACAGGAACCCAAAGTACTATCAACCAGAATCATCTAAAGATATCCATTTTTCTATGCCTCTCCACATTTCTCAATGATTTCATGCATTGAAAATGCATTACATTTTCATGATTTCATGCATTTAAATAAAAAGTTCTAAACAGTTGCCAAAAATTGTCCTTTTAAAGTAACGGACTGTACTTATAACCTTAAGACAGATACACAAAATTAGATAATGAGTCTTGTCTTGATGGCAACAAGAAAATAAAGTGCCTGCTCTTTGGAGATAGAGTGCATTTGCTCTTTTAGGCTATCTGTGCATTGTTAGGAATTTCTCTCTTTTAATAATCTGAAAAAAATTAGAATGGTTTTCTCATTGCAAAATGATCTGATTGTCCTATCCTGGCTTGGTTGTTTTGGCCTAATTAACCATGAGGGTAGATTGTTGCATATTTGATTTGGTCATGATGATCGATGAGATGTGGGTGGGAAGAATTATTCAATTTTCTAGAATACTGTTAACTTTTTATTCATCTATTTAATTTTACCAGACATTAACTGAGCTCTCACTATCCATATTATATACCAGGGACATAAACATATGTAACCTCAAATGCTTCTTGTTTAGTAACTAATGGTAAAGAGTTAAGTTGGGGGACAAAAATAAATATGTAAGCTCTAACAATGTTATTCTGTATTCTACTAGGATTAAAAACGAATTGCTTTGGGTCAACAGAGGATGAAGAAACTTATTTTGACTGAAGTTACTAGATGAGATACGGCTATGACAACTTTAGAGGAGGTATATTTAAGCAGAACCTTAAACTTATGTCAGAATTTTTAATCACTAGACATCGGCAAAGGCAAAGGTGTGATGTGAAAGGACATGGAATGTCCGGGCAACAGGGAGCAGCTCAGAGGTCTGGACCATAGACAGGATTGATGAACCTGGTAAATCATGGAGTAGAGTGAGACAGAAAAGGGTGTTGGAAGGACCTTGACTTTGTTACTAGAGGAAATTGTCGAAAAGGGTCAAAGTGAGAGTGTATGTGTATGGCCACTATTAGCTGCCCTAAGTGTTACAAGAAAAAAATGAGATTAGGCAAGAATTGGCTGCTTTTAAACCAGAGTTAGAAGGAATGGGGAAAAACCAGAGGTCTTATAAGGGCTAGGAACGTTGAGTGCTTTTGTACCTCAACAGTGAGAGAGAAAACTGAGATTTTAGGCAACAGAGGTTCAATAAGGCTTTTCATTCAAAGTAAAGCCTCAGGCTTATGCTGAAATTTTTGTTTCAAAAAAGCTCAAGATAGCTGCCATTAATGTATGAAAGAGAATAACAAGAAAGTGAGATAGCAAAGAAATACACAGATGCAAAGAAATATGTAGGCTGAAGAATTATATGGAGGAAAGAATTGTTAGGCTACTAGTATTTGGAAGAGACTGAAAGCAAATAGATCAGAAGCTTACTAAGTTTTTGTGTGAATTGTTCTGCTAAAAATTCATGAGATTAAAGTAAAAAATAAAGGACTTTGATTTTTTCAAACCTGAATACAAACTCTGTTTGCCCTAGCAGGAAGTTCTTAAAAAGACTAAAATTATCAAAGAAGGCATATCCCCAAAAGCCCATCTCATATATAGCCATGGAAAATGGTGGACAAGGAAGAATCTTCCAGAGATGGTGGATCCAGGGTCAATGGAGAACAATGGACAAGGGAGTTCTTTTCAGAGAATAAAATCAGTCTAATCTAGGATGTTTCCTTACTCCAGGGCAAAGGGCTTTTCTGCCCACCCAGCAGAATTTCAGAATTGCTAGGAACTGGTGACTGCTGTATATTTTTCACTCTTTCCTTTTCCAAATGTGGATTTTTAGTGAAACAATTCTTTCCCTGTTCCGCCATTCAGAGATTGTTTTTTAGTATATAAATTGCTGGTCCATGAAAACCCCTCTCACACCTAAGGGAAAATACTGCATATGGCCCAGGCATCTTGACCTTTGAGCTGATTAGAATGACTGGATGAATTGCTAGGTTGTCTTTTTTGGGGAGAGTGATAATGTTTGAAATAAAGAGTGAAATAGGCCGGGCATGGTAGCTTAAGCCTGTAATCCCAGCACTTTGGGAGGCTGAGGTGGGTGGATCATGAGGTCAAGAGATCGAGATCATCCTGGTCAACAAGGTGAAACCCCATCTCTACTAAAAAAAAAAAAAAAAAAAAAAAAAATACAAAAAATTAGCTGGGCATGGTGGCACATGCCGGTAATCCCAGCTACTCAGGAGGCTGAGGCAGGAGAATTGCCTGAACCCAGGAGGCAGAGGTTGCGGTGAGCCAAGATTGTGCCATTGCACTTTAGCCTGGGTAATAAGAGCAAAACAATGTCTCAAAAAAAAAAAAAAAAAAAAAAAGAGTGAAATATCCACTTGGTGACAAAGGGTAGATAATTGCAGAGACTGCTATATTCACTAAAACTAATTCTCTTTTCTTCTGAGGCATATGAATTATTTCTGAGATGCCCTTGTCAAGAAGAGAGAATGTGGGCAGAGGTATGGTATTTTACTCTTGATCCTTAACAAATTTTCATGTAATCTTCTACTTCTTCTCTCACATATTGCCTACCTCCCATTAAGTATCTCCCATTTTCTGGCTTAATAGAAGGGACTCTGAAGATTTAGACAAGATAATCTTTAGACACCAAATGGAAAAAAACCTGTGTTCCTAAAGGATGGAATGCAACAATCTTGAAAAGTCAGTCAGCAGCTTATTAGACTTAAAAGAGGAAGAAATAAACTGCTGTTATATAAAAGCACTGTGATTTCAGTGTTTTTCTGTTATAGCAGAAGTTACATTGACTAGTCATACATCCAGAAGTTCATGTCCAGTGGACTAGGGGAGTTCACAGGCCAGAGTGAAGTACTGCATAATAAATCACTAATAATGGATTCTGTGGCCTGGGCTAAGGTCGCACCTGGGCTCCCTCAGGTAGCTGTATTTAGGTGATGGGATGGCTGGTGGCTGGGTTTAGCTATGATAGCTGAGTTGACTGTGTGTCTCATCTCTGTTGTCTTTCATCCTCAAGGAGCCAATATTGGGGCTTTTGGAACCTGGTGGTATTAGGGTTTCAAGAGGGTG